GTAGGAAATTTTGGTTTAGCATATATACTAGTTAAGTCTCATGTTTTGCATAGACTAGATAAATATGTAATTGTTTTTGATCTATAAAGTTACTGATAATTCTAAACTGAATGTTAAAGTTATTTTCGTTTTAACGAATACAAAATCATCTTACCGATAATGTCTGCAAATTATGATAATTTTATAAAGATATAATATATTCTTGTATGGAAAGACAAAGATAAAATGGCAAAAATAAATATATCAATGAATATATCGAGAGCATTAGTCTTTGCTATTTTTTCAATGCAAGGGTAGAAATTGAAAAAAGACTTTTTTTTTTTTTTTTGGACAGCTGAAAAGAGATTCTAAATTTGGATTTGTTCACATGGCTTGGCATATGTGTAAAAAAAAATGAAATTGATCTTGTAAAGATGCACGTAGCTTCGACATTGTCCAGGATAGAAGCATAATTCAAAGTTCATAAGGACATAGCACTCTCCTTAGTTCTAGATGCTTCTGCAATTTTTAAAGTAAAATTTCCTTGCTTTCGAATATGTTCCTCTCCCATAATCGTCATGTCAGTCCCCTAAGTGAGATTACCAACCAATTTCTCTAGTCATGAAATAAAACCCTCTCGTCTCCACTATCTCTTTTGATTTATATATCATTCAAAATGGCAATACAGTATATGAATATTTCACGCATAACAACAATTATATAATATTAAAATTATGTTAATACATTATACGTAGGATCACGTGAAAATAACAATGTTATGATATAAGATGTGTTCTATAATATCATTACATGTATTTATTATTCAGAATTTTATGCCATGATGATTAGGATGAGCTCACTTCCAATAGAGTGTGTCTTCTCAACATGTTATCTAGTCCCTTAGTTTTTACATGTACCAAACGAAAAAACAAACATTTCTGACAATTCGAAAGATATCCTCTTTATCTCCTGCAAATATAAAAAGATCTCTACGCATTTCTTATTTTTTAATATATTTTATATGTCCCCTAATTGACTTTTTTTTTTTGGCCTTGTAATTGATATGATCATTCTAGTTCACCTATAAAAAGAGGCAGTGGATATTATTTGTTACACTTTTGGAAATATAATTAAATAGAATGTAATTCAAAAAAACTGAAAGTAAGATTTGATATTCTTATATTTACAATGAAGTAGAGAAATCTTTTTTATTCAACAACCGTCCCATTATATACTTTCCAATGAAAATAAAATACGTTTTAGATTAAAACAAAAAAAAACAAGAAAGAAAGAGGAAAATATATTCACATTTTTTAATTTCTTTCAGTAAAATCTTCATCCCCAAAAAATGCATTTTAAATCTTGAACCATTATTGATTTTTTTCACATCATCTAGAAATTTGTTGTATTTGACAACATTGGATTGAGCTGATACCTTGTCAAAACCAAAATATAAACATATTTGTTGACAAAAAAAACATATTTGTTGAAGAACACGAGATTAAAACACAATACTTTGGACATCCATATGGATATGGGCTTTTGTTTTCGGTCCATTTACATATTCGGAGAGAGGGTCTATCCATGGGCTGCACCTCCCTCAGGGATTAGCATGCACCCTTTGGCCTAGGATTTACCCCGAGTCATCAAAAAACAAAAAATAACGCGAGATTAAAAATGTTTTTAATTGCCTATTAGAAAATATGTAGATAAATATGTGATATTTTCATCCTTGTATATAGTCGGTTCTAGATTTACATTTATCGCACATATGTACTTGTATAAATAAAAGATCATTAGGTCATGAATCAATAAGACGAACAACTTATTTCTCAAACCGTCACTGATTTCTCA